GCTGCCGTGGGCACAGCCGCGGAGACCCCAGCTCGCCTCAGGCCACAGGGCACCGCAGCCTCACGGCGTCCATGCTCGACCTGGCCCGGCCTCTGGAGCGCTGAAAGGGACTCACCGTAAACAGGGTGGCTCGTCGTCTACACTAGGCCAGCCCACTGTTCTGGTAAAGGACCAGGTGTGTGCGGCACGAGAGCAGCCATGGACAGGGCACGACTGACAGGACAGGCCTCACACCCGTGTGCTGACTGCTGGCCCAAACGCGAGCCCCATGGACCTGTGTCCACCGCTCAGAGAGGGAGCGAGGCCTGCGATGCTGGCAAAGACCTCCCCGTTGACTCCTGGCTTCTAGAAGCCGGAGGGAACCTAGGCTGGGGGCCTGGAAGGGAGCAAAGACAGGCAGCAGCTCCGGGGTCTTATAAAACCCACGAGACCGGAGTCCGTGTCTAACTGAAGGGGACGAGGCCTGCAGAGGGAGGGGCACGGCCTGGCAGCAGAGCCCAGTAGCCCGTGCGGTGTCGGAGCCAGTGAGCTCGTTAGGGGTGGAGGGCCTGACCTGAGGCCTGGAAACACACGTGGGACTGGGACAGCTGGGAACACTGTGCAAAAGGCCCTGACCAGCTGCCTGGAAGGGTGAGGAGGAGGACAGTCCAGGGTGACAGCCTGGAGAGGTCCCTGGGACATGGGCCACCCATCAGACTCATTGAACACAGCAGGCAGGGTACGTGAGCAGGGACAGGCTTGGCGGGCGGTTGTGTGATCTCTGATGCTGAGATGGGGACTGGTGTGCTCTTGGGCCTGGGCCACAGTCCCTGGTCACAGGTAGTTAGGCCCCGGCAGTGTGGTCAGGGCAAGGGGAAAAGGGCTAGGGTTAGGCCCAAGCCCTGGAGCACTCTGGGATCAAGGAGGAGATGGTGTCAGGGAGCCATGGGAAGTTTCCAGAAAGCTGTGCTGAGTGTGCCTGAGGGACAGAATAGGATGAGGAGGTGGCAGTGGTCACGGGGCTTCACAGCAGGGAGACCGAAGGCCAGATGGGCATGGGATGTGGGGAAGAGGCCCAGGTCTCCTAAGAGGCGTGGGAGAGGGCCCCGCGTGAGAGGGGCCAGCAGTACCCGGGGCTGGGAACTTCAGACAAAGCAGAGGGCCCACTCCCCAGCACTGTCCCTTTTTGAGTCGTTTTTCATTCCTGCCAAACTGGAACCCAGAGTGGGCTGCAGCTGGTGAGGTCACACCTCAGGCAGCCCTCCCAAAGCACTCTTGCGTTCCAGTACATCAGCCCAGTTCAGCCTACAGAGGAAGCCTCTGCCACTTTTTCCGCGTGTGCATCAGCAGGTGACACCCAGGCCCAGACCTGAAAGCGCTTCCACAGCCAGGCAGAGAGAGCCACCCCAGTCCCCATCGCCCCCCCCAGCGGAAGAGCACCGACCCTGTGATGACCCCAGCCATTGATGGGGGTGGAGCTTGCCTGCATCCAGCAGCAACTG